TAAATTGAACAAGCCTGGGCTGAGTACTGAGCCCCGGGGAACTCCACTAGCTACCAGCCTCCAACCGGACTCTGCCCCGCTGATCAGAACCCTCTGAGCCCTGTTGTTCAGCCAGTTCCCAATCCACCTCACTGTCCACTCATCCAACCCACACTTCTTGATCTTCCCTATGAGGATGTTATGGGAGACAGTGTCAAAAGCCTTGCTGAAGTCAAGGAAGTTACTTAAATATTCATAGCTATGCAGAGATGCTTACTAGAGTTTATAATAGTGGTGGTGCTGGGTGTAACTTAATTCAATGAATGGGAATATTTTCTTTACTGTAAAGCCACCAGTTGGCTGTTTGAATCTTGTAAATATATCGGCAGTCTAAATATATTGTGACTTATCAAGGAGCAGAACAGGCAAGAGCAGCCGAGTTATGTTTTTGTTTCTAACTCAAGGGCTTCAATTTTGAATTGTATTTAGTATCCTCAAAAATAGTGTTAACCAGGTGATTTGTAGCAGTCTGATAGAAGTTACATGACTCAGTATTTTAAAAAATTTTTCACTTACTGTGAGAGTTTTTTGACCTCTATGATGGAAAGGTAGATGGTGTTGCTGCTCAGCTGCATGTGGCCAACTGTGTGGTGAACCAACCCTGTTAACCATAGATTTTAGTCAGACAAAGCGTTATTGAAGGCAATGGGATCAGAAACCTTGCTTGGAAAAATGGAAAAAAAAAAAAGCTGCTTCAGAAACCACAAGAACTTCTAATACCCTACGGAACACATGACTTTTTACCCAGGACAACTTTTTAGTAACTACTTAGGCATGGGGGCTGCTTTTTTAAAGGTACGTAAACATTATAGCAGTCACAAAATATACGTGTGTGCTGCAGATTGACTTGATTAGCATCGTGCTCTTTATGAAGACAGAAGTCTAGTTTATTGTTCCTTTTGACTAGGAAACCAAAGCCAATTGTTATTTAAAATATAAAATATAAGCAATTCTGGTTTAAAAATCTTCATAAAATGACTGGTTGTCTATTTATTACTCCCCCTAATCCTGTGTTTGAACCTCTAGTCCAGAAACCTTACTGAACCTCTTGGTGGTGCCACAGAACCCATGAAATGTCCACCTACAGCCAGTACTGGCCATATTTTGACATAAGTTTGCACATACTAGTCATTTATGAATATACAATGAGTAAGGTAATACATTCCTGTGGCCTTCTTTACTTAGAATAGTAGAATGTTTTGGGTTGGAAGGAACCCCTAGAGGTCATCTAGTCCAACCCCCCTGCAGTGAACAGGGACACCGCTAACTAGATCAGGTTGCTCAGAGCCCCATCCAACCTGGTCTTGAATGTTTCCAGGGATGGGGCCT